GCCCCAGGCAACACCTGAATTCAACGGCAGGAAAGCGGGCAGAGGAGCAGCAAGCCCTCCGGCTGGCCCAGGCAAGTGCTGGCAACCCCCCTGAGGCACAGGGCAGCCAGGGGCTGAGGCTGGCCCAAGGCAGGAGAGGGACAGCAGGTCAGCACTGCCTGCACAGGGCTCTGTAGCCATGGTCTGGCTCTTCCGGGGTGACCCTGGAAGTGACCCTGGAAGAAGAATGAGGTGCTCATGGGCTACAGGTGGGCCCCTTACCTGAGCATTTCACTCCGACGTCAAAACCATGGTCGCAGTGATGTTGACCCCATCCTCTGTGTGTGCAGTCAGACAGTGCCGACTCGGTGCCACGACAGCGAACAAAATCCATCCAGATGTGTCCAGATCCTGGCCAAAAGAGTCTAGCACGAGGAATTTCAATGGCGGATCCGCAGCCCAGCTGCCTACAAATCACTGCAGCATTGTTCATGTTCCAGAAACGTCCACACACGGTCCCCCACTGGCCCCCGTGTTTCACCTCCACTCTCCTGGCACAGTGACTGCCACCATCCTTCAGCCTCACCTCCAGAGTCCCTTCAAATATGGACATGAGACCAGTCAGAAGAGTTCTGAACTCCAGACAGCCAGTCTGGAGGTGCCCCCCTGCCCAGCTCAAGTCACAGGCGATGAGATAAGAGTCCTTTCCTCTTCCAGTTATCCCTGGGCCAACTCCACCCATGCTGGGCTATCTGCCACCCCACCTGGGCACCTCCTTCCCCTCCCGTGACTGCCTGCCCGTGCCCGGCTGCGCTCTGTGCTTCCACCCCTGCGCAGGGCACACGCTTCTCCCTAGCCCAGAACGCCCCAAACAACCCCATGTCCCCAGGTCCACAGCTTGTCCCACCCACCCTCTGCCCTGGCATCACCTGAACCAACCCCATTCCCAGGGCTTCCCATGACCTCTGGGAGCACTGAGATGATCCCAAGGGTCCCTCAGAGCCAGCCCAGCCCCTCTTCTCAGCCGGAGCCCCCAGGAAGGAAACTTCTCTGCTACCCTTGAGTGTGGACAACCCAGTCCCCTTCTCTCTGAGGGGCACAAACTGCCTTCCTGGGAGGCACAAACTTTCTGGGGGGAGCACAGAAGAAATCCTCCGGAGAAC